TTAGTAGAGACGGGGTTTCACCATGTTGACCAGGATGGTCTCGATCTCTTGACCTCGTGATCCACCCGCCTCGGCCTCCCAAAGTGCTGGGATTACAGGCGTGAGCCACCGCGCCCGGCCTGGTTGTCATTTTTAACAGAAAAAATGAGATCATGTCTGTTTCCATGCCAACAGATCCTCTTGGGAGAGTATATTCAATAAAAGCTCGGAGGTGGTGACTCCTTTGCAGCTCCAGTGTTGCCAGCGTCTGGTGGAACTTTGTAAACAGTGCCTGCTAGTGGTTTACAAATATGCAACTGATACAAGAGGATCACTCTCAGGCATTGGTCCTGACTGGGGTAATTCCAGGTACTTGTTCACATTCTCTAACCCTTGAGAGTTTTATATAAAGTAATGCTAAAACACAGTTTGAAATTGAGAGTGCTTTTTTATTTATATGACTAGGAAAAAAGCTAAAGACTGAAAATTCATACATGCTATTATCTACAAAATATTTTTAATCAGTACAGTCTTTACCTTTAAGGGATTGAACAAGGACAGCAATCACGAATATAAAGGTGATAAAACATACTTGAAAATGAAGTTATTTGACTTATATACTTTCACGTTCAAAAGTGCAGAGCAAGAACATCCAAAATTTGGTAATATGTTTAACTTTTGTTCTCCAATAGAGTTATTTCAACATTTATCCTTGAGTCTACTACAGTTGGGAAGATACCTTTGGTTTTATTTTTATTGTTCAATTTACTTCTGCTATTTCCTTCATTACCAAATATGTAGAAGGTAAAATTTTGTCAAGCTATTTGATAAATGAGTTTCATAAATTAACAGTTGAAATAGTTTTCCAAAGAACATGAAAAACAATATTGCTTTTAAGCTACAAAAATACAAAGTAAAGAAAGTACCCTTTAGCATTTCTCAAGACAACTGTACTCCCCATTAAAAATAAAGATGAATATGTAACTTTAGTTTTAGTATTTGTAAGATGTAGTGCTATTTAGGATAGAAGAAATTAAGCCATGACATTGAAAAACTAAGCGAGAGTCAAAAAAGTCAGTGAATAGTTAAATAAACAATGAGGGCTGGGCATGGTGGCTCATGCCTGTAATTCCAGCACTTTGGGAGGCCGAGGCAGTCTGGGCATGGTGGTGCATGCCTATAATCCCAGTTACTTGGGAGGCTGAGGCAGGAGAATTGCTTGCACCCAGGAGGCAGTGATTGAGGTTGTGATGGGCTGAGATCACAGCATTGCACTCCAGCACTTCAGCCTGGGCAACAAGAGCGAAACTCCATTTCAAAACAAACAAACAAAAA